GCAGGGGCACAGAAGGGGCACAGAAGGGGCGTGGGGACCTCCAGCCGGCGGGCACGGGGACCTCCAGCCGGCGGGTGCGCGGGGACCTCCAGCCGGCAGGGGCACAGAAGGGGCACAGAAGGGGCATGGGGACCTCCAGCCAGTGGGCACGGGGACCTCCAGCCAGCAGGGGCACAGGAGGGACACAGAAAGGGCACGGGGACCTCCAGCCGGCGGGCACGGGGACCTCCAGCCGGCGGGCACGGGGACCTCCAGCCGGCAGGGGCACAGAAGGGGCATGGGGACCTCCAGCCGGTGGGCACGGGGACCTCCAGGCAGCAGGGGCACAGAAGGGGCACAGAAGGGGCGTGGGGACCTCCAGCTGGCGGGCGCGCGGCACAGGCGCGGCGACGTACTCGGATATGAGCCTCAGCAGCTGCATGCACTCGGACGTGATTTCCGGCTGCCTGTCCTGCGTCATCGACAGGATCCGTTTCTGTGGAAAGACCCCGAGAGGAACAGGCTTCGTGCCAGTGCCGTCGGTGTGACCCAGGGCACCACGACCCCCCACCCACAGGGCGGACTGCCCCTTCAGAGGCACCGGACAGCCCGCGTCAGCCGCCAGCACACGGCCCGGCACCGATCACCCAAGAGGCCAGGGCCGCGAGGCCCACGCAGAGGGCGCCCGCAGCACCCTCTCCCGATCCCCCAGCACGGCCGGCCTCGCGGCCCCCCGCACTCGGGGCTGGCTCGTTGGGTGGGGGCAGATGCTCTCTCCCTGCGGCAGCACGGAGGAGTGGGGGCTGGGTCGTGACCCTGTGCGGGCACGCAGCTGTACCTTCGGTGCCCTGAGACTCCAGCACCCCCCACCGTGCTGACACCCAAGTGTGCCCTGACTTTCCCAGTGTCCCCAGCTGTCACTGCCTGTACAGACGGACCGTGACAGGGAATGCACAGCACAGGAGCTGAAGCCACGGGGCACGGCACGCGGTTGTCCCCAGAGCCGGCAGATGGGATACGGCCGGATGGGGGACCCCATCTCCAAACATGGCCACACATCACCCCACAGGGCTCGTGGAACCAGGACCAGGAGCTTCTGCCACCCAGACACAACCGTGCCCTGACGGGGCTCAGGACGTGCTGTCCCAGCTCAGCCCCTCGCACGGCGTGGTGGTCCAAGCTGCGAGGCCGTGGGCGACGGGGGGTGGTATGGGACGGGCGGTATGGGACGGCCGCCCGCAGCAGCCCTCGCCCCCTCATGGGCGGGGGCCTCCCTGCACCCAGAGGAAAGGCGCATCCTGAGGTCCCACGCAGTGGAGAGGACTGTGCTCCTGGCGTTCCCCGGCACCCACTGCTCCTCAGGCGTCAGGTCCCTCTTCTGGGGGCCTCCGCGTCCTGGAAATGCTCCAGGGCAGGGGACACGTCTATAAATACACGGGCACACGTGGCCCTGTTTCATCTGGCTTCTGGTTTTCGGTCAGACTCCCCTGGGGACCCTGACACGGTCAAGGAACACTTGGTTCTCCCCCACACCCACAGGGATGAGATGACGCACTGGGTGTCTCCCGCCACGCAGGCTGGCCCTCCACGTTCCCTGGCCACCTCCGAGGCCCCAGCCCTGCTCCCGTCCAGCCACGGGTCCCGGGGTGGGGTCCTTGACCAACCGACAGTTGGCCAACCTGCACAACGGGCAGTGGGATCTCAGAACAGCGTCCCGGGTGACGGCGGGGCCCCCAAACTCAGGAACAAAGTGGGCCGCACCCTCACGTCATCCCACGAACCTGACTACCGACCCGCGGTCCCGGAGCAGCTCTGAACCTCTGCGAGGGGGACCCCGGACCCAGCAAGGACGTGCTCCCCCGCCAGACCAGTGGGCACCGAGCCCTCCCACTGCTGCACCAAGATGTTAGAGGGCATCACCCCAACTAGGCCACTCGGGGGCGTGCCCGTGCTCCAACCTCAGCCCTGCACGCAGAGCACCCTGCCGGGGCCCACGTCACCCAGTGGGCCGTGAAGCGTGAGTGCTCGGCCCCGGGCTCGGCCCCGCAGAAAACCTTCAGCTCACCGTCGCAAGACGCAGCCCCGAGCGCCGGGCTGAGATGCGGCTGGCACTCCGGGCCAGCGAGCGGCTGCTGGACGTCCACACGTCCACCGAGATGCTCGGGGACGGGGACACTGGGTGGCGGCCGGCAGAGGCGACACGTCACTCACCTTGAACTTGTAGAAGAAAAGGCCCAGCTTCATGGCCGACTCCCTCTTCTCGTAGAGCGCCTTCAGCGCCAGGATGCACTTCATGCGCACGCTCGCGTCCTGCGGCAGAGAACGGGCGCCGGTCACCCCGCAGGGGCAGCCTCCCCACACGCGCTCGGACAGGAAGGCCCCTTCCACCACAGCGCAGACCGGCCCCCGGCCGACAGCGTTCCAGGCGGGACACGGGGGTCTGCGGCCCCACCCAGTCCAGAACACGCCTGCTGGGGTCTGAACCGTGCAGCCCAAACCTCACCCCAGGACCTCACGATGGGGCTGTCCGTCGAGGTGTGGCCCTCCAAGAAGGGACTCGGCTGTAAAGCGAGGTCACAAGGGGGGGCCCGATCCCACAGGACTGGGGTCCTCACGAGAAGGTAGGAGGACACAGACATGCACAGGACAACCCCATGAGGACGCGGGGACAAGACGGGTCCACGTGCCAAGCAGAGAGCCCACGGGAGGAAGCTGCCTTGGTCCCGCCTAGATCTCACACCCCCAGACACAGCCCTGCCTGGATCTCACACTCCCAGCCTCAGCCCTGCCTGGGTCTCAC